CAACAATACACTTAAAAATTCATATCTTATGTAATTGACACACATCCAGAGTAACCGATCATATATAGAAAAATTTTAGCATGCATCTGAACGATTTACACTCAAGTAAGAGTGTCCGTATAGTCTTTGCTAAAGGTGATGTTTCTATTATGGATACTAAATAGGTTCTAATTTGCTTAGAAAAATATATAAGTGATAAAAGAAAAATGAGTAGGATCATTAGTTGGCTAGTGTTATCAGATGTATCCCGTGATATTCGTTGTTAATATTATGAATTATAAGAAGTATGTATTTACAATGATGTTAATAAATGAGCTGATGGTAAATCAAATTTAGTGTGATTACCATCATCTCAACTGATACGATATTATCCTCTGATTCACGCCTCGGTCCCAAAAAATGTCAAACGCCCCAACAAAGATGACAAGCAAATCAATATCAGGTCTTGATCACAAGTGATTTTGTCCTCCTGTCACACATGCCTGCCAACCTCTTCACATTTGTCATATCTCCAGAAAGCCAATCTTGAGAGATTATATGTTACTCTTCTGTCATTCGTACAGAGAGAGAGAGTTCTATGCATTCTTGCTTCCTGGTACCCAATGACAGCCTTCCCTGCCAAACGTCCAATATACATTTCGTGTGAATGGAAATTTAGTAGGGGACAAAACTAGTGCAGAGAGTAAAGAAGAAACCTGTTATCTTATCAAGAGACCACGTTCTTCATGACGGCCACTTACTTAATATTTTCTTATCTTGAACGAATTTAAACAAATTTGTATCAGGAGATCTTAACATGATTAATGTGAATTATTTCTTTTCTACATAATGTCACAGCAGGACAACGTACAAACTGTGCAAATCGCGCTAGTTGCAATGGGATTGAGGTTATTTTTGTTATGCGATCTATGGCTTATTGTTAGTTGACATGCAAGTCTTGAAGTTGATATTGTGAGAGAGTAGCTACGGTGAATAGTAGTTATTGAGTGAACATAAAATCTTTAATAAAAATGGATTTGGCTAGAGCATGATATTTGTATTCATTCCTTTTCTGAAATTGGTCATTGTAGTGTACGATGGATGTTTTGAGAGTGAAAATAATTATGTCAAAGACTCAAATTACTGTGTGGGATTAGTTGTTGAGTTATTGGAATGATGATAATACTGTTTTCATATTATGAAATACTATCATATTAACCTGGAAAATCTTACTTTACATAAAACTTGCATTCAATTGAGTTTTATAGAATAAAATATATTTTTTAATATAAAACATTCATCATTTATAAATCAATTTTTGAGGTATAAATTTATATAACATTATATCTAAAATAAATTTTAATGATCAAAAATAATTTCAGTCGAAAGATTTACTTCTGGAAATAGTTTCATTTTTTAACCAAAGGTACTAAAAAAGAAATTATATAAAATTCTAGTAGAATAATTGAAAATTAATCTTAGCTATTTGAAATATTTCGTTCAATTCATAATAAAAATTTCATCATTTAATTGTTATTTACTTTACATCATATAGATTTCTTAATCCAAGATATCATTTTTTGATATAGAAAATTTCTTTTATTAAGATGTATCTATAAGAAATAAGTAGTCATTTCATCTTTTGAATTGATGAGAGTTTAAATTTTGTCAATCAATATTTGTAAACAAAGAAAATGTCTTCTGAACTTGACGTGGATTGATGAATTTTTTTTCAAGTCTGGTTTGCAAAAACATAAATATAACTTTGGAAAATATAACTTATATAGAAGAAATTAACTGTAAAGCCAAACGTTTTGACAATCTCAAATTAGAGCATTATCATAAGCAACAATGTCTATGTTAGGTAAGTATGAAATTTGCATCTTAAATTGGTCTTCTGGAACTTACTATAGATAGTGTCATGATCAACTACAAAATACAACAACATTCTCTCTACGTGAAGTTTATATTCATACGGGAGCGACTAGTTATTACTCACTTTTCGCCAATTATCCATCACCTTACTATACTCTATTCTGTGATTGGTCGATGCAAAGTTATAGTTTTTGTGTGATGAATGGTTGCTATTTCTAAATTAGGCAGTTTTTTTTCTTTTCCCTCTATGCGTCAAAGCCGCCTCCGTGGCAGACTCCATGTCAAAGTCACGCCTGCCACGTCACGTCAAACCCGCATCCCTGGCTCAATTTTTGGAAAGATCTTAACTGAACACGCGGAATCACGTTAGCAATATGTCATCACCTGCCTTCGAATCTCGAACAAAACGAATCAGCTAACACACGGACACATGACGCACAGTACATGGGAGCTCTAATTGCACTCAATTCTCTTGCAAGGTCCATGAGTCTCAAACATGCAGTGGATTCGACCTGGCCCGATAGTTCTAACCATCTGATTTCACTTTACGATGACATTGAGCTTGCAAAACGTGTCAGATCCCATTCTTTTCATGCAATTGGTAGGTTGAGCTTGATTTTGATCCACAGAGAGCTTATGCTACTGCAGAAATGTCCATGATTTTAAACTCCAATCTATGATATTATTTACAAACACATCTTTGTTAGCGTTGTACTCTGCCGCGATTCAATCTTATCTGCTTGGAGTTGGTTGAGCTTGAAGATAGTTGATTTTTTCATGAATGTTGCGAATTCAAACGTTCTAATCGTAGCTGTGTAAGTCGTAAGTACTCGATACAATTTTTGATAATGTCATGACAATCATTTATGAAATATACTATTTGTGGATATAATATCTTATTCAGTGGTACTATTGTCACCGCTCTACTAGTGTCATGCGTGAATGTAGCCTAAGGAACAGTTGTGCTTCTCTCTTGCAATAGCATCAGACAGTCTAGGATATCCCAGCCATCTTGGCATATATCTCCGACCGTGCACGAGAATATAGCATATATACCCGACTTCATCAAGGTTGAAGGCTACGCTTTTTCAATGACAGTCAAGAGAGTGGCCGCTCAATCACTATACTCATCACTAAAAAGCTCTCCAACAAAACATTCGCGACTCCAGAGTATACAACAGATCTCGGTCTAGAGAGATGATGTGGTGGAAATCGCAGCGTGAGTCTAGTCACGTTGCGCCTTCCACCACATCGTCTCTCTTTATTCCTCTCGATTCTCCAGAGTATCTCAGATCAACGTGGCTTTGACGTGGCGTCTACCACAGAGTCAACTTTGATGCAGAGGTGAAAGAAAGAAATTAACTATTTTAGAAGTAGTAACTATCCATCCCACAAAAACTATAACCTTGTATAGATCAATCACAGAAGAGAGTATAGTAGGGTGACAGATAGCTAGCCGCTCCGATTCATACTTGTTACAAAAATGCCATATATTTCATATCATCACGCAAATCTATGCTTTGCACTCCAAATGAGCATCAAGTTAAGAGAAACTTTGTTAAAATTTAAGTGCTAAAATGTCTTTTGTGCAACATAAATATTTATGTAAACGATATAAATTTGTGTCTATATAATTGAATAGGCACTCATTACGCAGTAATATGAAAGAGTTGTAGAAGTCAAAAATTGACCAAAAATGCTGAATATGATATCTCCCTCCTCAATAATATACCTACTCCTCTTGAACTAATTACTAAAGATATATATGATTGCTAAGTTTTCATTCACACACACGGAGGTCTGAGGAACGATTTTGGTTTTAACAAAACGCTATTGCTGAGATCCAAATCAGTGATCTTTACTCAGCCATATTAAAGATCTTCAAGCAAGTTCAAAAAATAAAGAATGTGGGTGGAGAAGTTAAGCGGCATGTTCGTGCAACAGTAGAATACAATACAATGTAGAATAGAATACGTGGGAAACTCGTAAAGGGAGATTAAATACCTAAGTATACCTGTGATACCTAGGTATCACAGGTATACTATAGATTAAATAATGTATTTAATCTATTTACAAGACTGTGTTCATATCAACATTCACATTGTATTAAATACTAACCTAATACTAATACTAATAAATAATAAATAAATAATTCATACTCATAATTGTTTTGTTGAAAGTTCAGCAGGGTTGGCAATTTTACCAATACTATTGTCAGTCTCACGTTAGTCCCCAAGGATTGATCTTCGGTTTTCGATCCTTGGTGGCTGCACCAAATGGCGATGGTATCTTCCATAGCTGCGGTCAAGACAGAAGGCCATTCGACATGTCCCAATTCGCTCACTCTTGGCTTCGGCCAGTAGCCACGTTTTCCATGTTGCAGGGAACGAACGAAACGACATGAAACTGCAATGATTCGAGGATCGGATCGGAAGTCACGGCCAAAGAATGAATGGCCCTCCGATTGAGCACAAAACTCCAACGAGAAAAGCTCTGAATGGCAGTCCTTGTTTCTCAGTCAAATGCCATTCTTACTTCCGTCAACCTCGAAGTCCATCCCCAAACTTGTCTCCTCTCAGCACGCCGGACTTTGAGCCCAAAGAGCCATGCCCTCACAGATTTAAGCTTAGCACTAATAATTCGCAAATTGCAACTTCTGTACCCAAGACTTTGACTAATTTGATCCTTCCGCGTAGTTTAGGAAAGTGTTGTCCTACAGTTGAGGGGTTTCCTACATCATGGAAGTGCTACTCATTGCGCTTGCGTCGTATGCAGAAACTGAGTGGTAGATTTATTGCAGAAACTGAGTTGACATAGCTCGAATTATTGGAATTTCACCATCGACGGGTTCTGGAGTTTGATTATGATTATGATTATGGCAGTTTGCTTGTGGCAGCTCGAAAGCAAACTTCTGAAATAATTCTGCTCGCTGGACGACAGGTTCGTCGAGCCATTCGTCAGTTTGTCAATGTGTCAACTCGATGAACCAATTATCGCTTTGTCCAAGGGAAGTTGAGAAGTCAAGGGAACGAGGTCTCGTGGACAAGAAGTCCGAATTTGGAATCCCGATTGTCTCATTCGTGTGAGATTACAATCTTTATCAGAGTCCGATTCTCCGGATCGTTGAAACCCACCAGCTGATCATGAGGGCCAGGCAGGTGTTATGTGAAACATTTCCGACGTGCAATTTAATCCGGGCACTTTGACCACGTTCGAGACTGCCGGAACAGTCCCACTGTTTAGACTCGGTCGCTCAGAACTCCTCCTTCACTGCGAGGGTGAGAGGAGTGTAGTGGAGTGCTCACAGCTCAATGTTCCTGTTGCTAAATGTGGTCCATACCCAAAAACATCCACATTCTAACTCAAGCTAAAAAAGTCAGAGGGCAAAGCATCGAGAGAATACGAGTTAATCCTCGAGCTGAAATCCACCACCACGCAGATAGATGACTAGACTGAATCGAGCTTCGAATCGAAGCTCTCGCTCCGCCCAACACCGAAACCAACACACCAACGCCTGCAGGTCTGGCTGAATTTGGTTTCTGAGGTGGAGGGGGAGGGGTAGACATTTTTGGTTTCTGAAATTTTTTGGGGGGCCTCTGAGCTTCCTTTCCATACGATGGAATCTCTCACGGAGAAGGAGGAGGCCAAGCTCATCGACACGCCCGAGCAGCAGATGATGCTGCTCCTGCAGGATGGATCAATCGATGCGGACGTGTTCGCAGAAGGAAATGGTAAGCACCTCGACACTGCCCCACTGGACCATGACTACGAACAGCGGCGGCAGCACGCTGGAGTGAACGAGTACGACGCTATCGTCGTCGGGTCTGGCTACGGTGGGGCAGTGGCTGCTTGCAGGCTGGCGCAAGCGGGCTCGAAAGTATGCGTCGTGGAAAAGGGCAGGCGATGGGAGAGCCCCAACTTTCCAGACAGTTTCGTGGGCATGCTCACCAACGCGACATGGAACACTCCGTTCGGAACCATCGGCAAAGCCAACAACCTCTTCCAGGTACTGACTGACCCCTAGCTCGATGAGAATCCCGACGCGGACCTGCAAATGAAGTGCAAGTGAATGGCGATGGTAGAGATTCAGATTTCGATCGATTGCAGTGGAGATTAATAAACTCGCGTGTGGACCTGAATGATAATAGATACGCGTGGACGGAGAATGCCTGGCGCTGACGGGGGCTGGCGTGGGAGGAGGATCTCTGATCAATGCGGGAGTGGTGGCTCCGACGCCGGCCCGGACTCGCAGAGATCCGCGATGGCCGCCGGAGTGGGAGAAGGAGTGGGCCAAGTACGAGGCCATGAGTGCGAGCATGCTGGAGCCCGAGACCGTGCCTTACAGCTTCCCGAAGAATGAAGTCATGAATGCGATCAAGGACGAGATCGAAGATGTTCAAGACGGCCCGAAGAACATCAAAGTCAGCATGCGGTTCAGTGACGTCACCAATGTCGCTGGAATCAAGCAAAATGCCTGCACTGCTTGTGGCAACTGCATCAGCGGGTGCAACTACAATGCCAAAAACTCGACAGACAAGAACTACATCGCTGCAGCTTTGAGTGTAATTCCTCACAATTCCTGACGCAGCGTGGGACATGAATTTCGCAGCTGCTCCTGCACCCGGTATCCTTCATGTATCAGATTAATTCGTAAAGCTTCTGCAGCGACCATTGCAAGAGCTCAGACTGGATTCCCATGACGACGAGGCTGGTACTGACAGATTCTGCTCTCTTGATCACTTGCAGGCCGGGGCGGAATTGAAGACAGAAACCACAGTTCTCTTCGTGTGCAAGAATCAGAAGGAGCCCGCAATCTGCAGAGGCGGCAGCGGTGTCTGCGCGTGTGCGACTTGGCGATGCGGGAACGTGAAATCCAGTGGATCTGATGATGACTCGGAGCTGCGAGGCTTCAATGGTGGTGCCAGTGCCAGAGGGAGAAGCTGGCGAGTGTACTTGGATGAGGTTACATTTCTGTCGGCAGATGTTGTAGTTCTCGCAGGTAAGTTTGACCATTCATTCCTATCCTTGGCTATTTCTGTCCACCATGATGTGAACAAATGTCGCATCAGTCGTGTGTGAGAGCGCAAAAAGCTCTTGACGAGCTTATGTGCGCCCGATGACCCTTCACTCGCACAAAGGGCATGAAACGCGTTACTCATGCAGGTCGCTATTGGGCCCACTCGACATCGAGCTGCCTTTTCTGGCAGAATATTATCGAGATGGATCTGATCTGGAATATATGCTTGCTGTCTGTGAAGCTGGAGTTTTCGGGACGAACGAGATTCTCCTGCGGTCAAGGGAAAGGGGCTTGAACCTGTCCCAAAGGCTTGGAAAGGGCGTGAGCTGCAACGGAAACAACATTTGCTTTCTCTCGGACTCGCCAGCACCTCTCAAAGGCTACGGCATCGCGAGCAAGGACTTCGTGTCCCTTACCACTCCTCAGCGTCCGGGGGTTGCCATCTGCAACTCCTACACCTCCTCCGCGGGTTACACCATTCAGGTATGAGGATAAATTTGAGATTCTTCTCGGACTAGCTCAGATGACTAAACAACAGAATGCAACTGGAACATCAAGCAATGCTCTGCTCAGAATCAGATAAAGTTTCTGCTCATCTCCTGATCGATGATCGATGATGAATAACAGCAGACGAGAAAAAGAGAGGAATTTTAACAAATTAGAAGGCAGAGCTCTGGTAGAAGATAATGACGATCTGTTGTCACCACCCCGGCCCAGGCACAAGAAAGATCTCGTCACCTGAAAATTAGACTCGAAGAAGAAGTAGTGCCTGCAGTCTGAGTACAAATGGATGGATGGCTGGATGACATGATGGATGAATGGCCGGGTAATACGTACGTGATATTGAAGCTCAAGATGATTAGTTTATTGATTGATGATTGCTGTAGGTGACATTTCCTGAAAATTAGACTCGAAGAAGTAGTGCCCGCAGTCTGAGTACGAATGGATGAATGGCTGGATGACATGATGGATGAATGGCCGTGTAATACGTCCGTGAAATTGAAGCTCAAGATGATTAGTTTATTGATTGATGATTGCTGTAGGTGACATTTCCTGAACATTAGACTCGAAGAAGTAGTGCCCGCAGTCTGAGTACGAATGGATGAATGGCTGGATGACATGATGGATGAATGGCCGGGTAATACGTACGTGAAACTGAAACTCAAGATGATTGATTGATTGATTGGGGATTGCTGCAGGGAGCGACATTTCCTAAGAATTTTCCGTACTGCTTCCTGAAGTTCTGGACGTATGGATCGCAGCTGGGCTGGAATGTGCCGAATGTGCTCTTGGCGCAGCTGAAGATTTGGGCGAAGACGAGGAGCAGCCACAATGTGGTGCTGAACATGATGGGGTACGACGAGGCTGACGGGGAGCTGACGCTGGACAAGAGCAGCGGGCGCCTGCGGTACGTGGCACCGCATGACGCAAACATGGCCAAGAAGATCGCCGCATGCAAACGGCTGGCCAACCGCGTCCGCGGCCAGCTCCACATCTGCAACTACAGGAGCGCCTCCGTGCATCTGCTGGGCGGCTGCAATGCGGCGCCGGATTCCAATTGCGGCGTGGCGAATGCGGACGGCCAAGTTTTCGACCCCGCCGCCGTCGGCGGCGGCGGCGGCGGCTCGACTCAGATTCATGCCGGGCTGTACGTGGGCGATGGCTCTCTCATCCCCTGCGCCGTGGGTGTCAATCCCTCCGCCACCATCACGGCTGCTGCCGAGCGAGTGGCCGCAGCAGCTGTGCAGTACGTGGAGACCCTCGCCCGAGCTGGACTCAGCAGTAAGGCCAATGGCAACAAGTTCCAACCCCAGAGTCTTCTGGACTCGGTCTCACAGTGGAGTTCCAATGTTGACATTACAGACTTTCATCGATCACCAATCAGCTTGAAGAGCTCAAGAGCCAGATGTCCCATCGAGAAAGTAAGTCTCGTACAAATGTAAGCCTGAGTCCAATTATTCTAGTTCCGTGCATTGACGCATTCCGCCTCCTTCCTTGTGTTGGGGAAAAGAGGTCCTTGGGTGCTGCTTTCGAGGGAAGATAGTGACAACGAACGTGAGTCGCCGCCACTCGATTCATTCAAGTTGCAAACGCGAAAGCGCCTTCCAAAATCTGACACGGACAGCAGCAAACAGTAATCCCAAGTTCGACAGTAATTTAATGATTACGGCCCTCCCGAGTTAATCTTTTACACGGGCTGACAATCCGATCTCAAATTTAGAAAACACAATAGTAGTCGTCGTTGCCGAGGGTGACATTGTTCACATTGGAGTGTGTATGCTCGCAATATCGGAGGCATGTGGAATACATTTTGGTGTCAAGAGTCACTTTTTAATTTTTCATATCCGTACAGAATGTACTTGGACCCAACGTACGATGGAAAGTGGAACGACAATGGAACCTGACCGATGCAGATGCTGTTGTAATGCAGGCTCCAGTCGTTGTGAGGGAGACATTGCGTGGACAAGTAGCGGGTTTGGCGTGCCACCTGAAGGTGGTCATGCACATGGGATTGGACAAGGATGACGAATGCTGTGAAACTCGCGGAAGTTTCGGCGAAGCTCACGAGTATCTTAGGGGCCGAGTTGGTGGGAGCATGCTGATACCCTCGATCGATTCCGAGGTGTTGCACATTCTGGATGGGTGCGTGGATTTGTGCTGGAAGGATGAGCGCACCCCTTTCACTCAGTACATGCACTACCACCTTCTTCTTGCTTCTGCCACTGGAGCTAGGTAAAAATCTGATATCTCCCCACGTAGTGAATGAACATCTACACCTCCATTTAAATCTCAGAACAGATTTGTTTGGAACATTGAAGATCTCATATGTCACCAAACTTATCCTATGCCATAGCCTCGAAATTTCTCTAGCTATTTTTTTTTGTTCGTAGCAATACTAAGAGGTTTGACAACATGAATCAGATATGTGTTGAATGGGAAAAAAGAGATGCGCCCTTATCTGGGAGGCCTGTTCGGCTGGCACGAATCGACGACTTTACTGGTGAAGTTTCAACAAATTTCTCCAGCAACTGCAGCTGCCAAACGTGTGCAAGTTCTTCCCACCAATGCAGCTGCAATTATCCAGAGCCCAAGTGCAGAGAGTCAGCAATCGAAAGGAAATCCAGTGATGCAGGGCGTTCTCACAGTGAGCTTTGTTGAACTCCTGAAATCAACCATCACACTCCAAGGATCAGAAAAATTCACCTTTGCTAGGCTCCTGGTGGAATCGTTGATACGCACTTATATTCTGAAGAATCCTCGATCGGTGAACCGGTCTGATAAGCAGGAAAAGGTTACGGATCAAGTGTACTCGCCTTTGGCTCAAATCTATCCTCACGATGCAAATTTTGTTTTGCATGAAATCACCACAGGTCGGTATTCAATTCCTATGCTTCTAGCTTTAATCATTTCCTTGAATTTCGTTTCCTAGGCTTGAGGGTTGGAATGGGATCCAAGAGTACAAAAAGTGAAAATCGATCTGGAAGAGCAGCAAATTTCCGATCATCCGAGCTAGCATTCTGATAGACCTATCATCGTGTGACATGGGTATACGTATGGAACCCGCAGATGATGGAGCAAAGATCAGTATAAGGCAATGGATTTGCCCCGACAAGGGCGAAAAACCTACTTCATCAAATGTGGTACTCTTGCTAAACGGTCATTCCATAGAGAATTTTTGGCTCCCCACTGAACCCACGGATGTGGTACGTACTCTGCTCCAAAATGGGTACGAACCTTGGTTGTTGTACACAAGACTATCCCCTCTCCATATACCGGACCGAAAATTCAGCCTCGACGATGCTGCCAAGTATGATATTCCTGCTGGTAAGTGTGAACTCTCTTTTGTAAGGTTTTTTAATTCATATTGTGACGTTATGTGATCAGTTACGTAAATTTTATGACTATATTGATCAAAACATGATCAATTAAAGCTATGCAGATAAGTACACAGGAAACTGCATAATTTTCATACTTTTAAAATAACTATCTGATCTTTGAAGAATAAATCATCCTTCGATTAAATATAAGTTTCAAAAAAAAAATTAATTTTTTTTTTGAAACTTATATTTCAAGCTATTGTTTTTTTGTTGACTATTTATCCACCAAGATGTAATTTCAACATTAATATCAGAACTTTAAGAATTATTCTCAATCCCATCTTTTGTGACTTTCGAATCGAAGGGAAGCTATTCTATAATCGGAAACTTTACATGACAGAGGTTGAATAACATGACAAGTTTCTCACTCTTGCAGCAATGAAGAAGATCGAGGATTGCCGAGGAAACAAATTGCCCATCCATGTTATAGCCCACTGCGTTGGTGGACTACACATCCACATGGCTGTTTTGGGTGGCTACGTGCCCACCTCTAGAATCGCATCCCTTCTCTGCACCAACACTTCGATGTTTTTCAGTGTGACCAATCTCGCCTGGGCTAAACTGATTCTTCCTCTCATGCCGGTAATTCTCCAGCTTTCGACTTCCAATCTTGCACGTAAAGAATCTCTCTCTAAGTAAGGTCTCGTAGAAGTAAAATGGGCCAAAAATCTACGTCTGAAGTCGAGTAGGAGAGTTTAGACAAGCTTGACGACTTTTCTCTTGGACACCTGAAAGCTATGAAGTCTTTTTTTCTATACAAACTGTACTGAATCAGGACCTGCCGAGATGCATTGCAGATTTCCATGGCCATAATGGGAAGGAATACAAGTTTCAGCCCATACAAGACCTCGGAAGGTGGTCTTCGACATCAGCTGCTGAGATTCATAGCTCAACAAATTCCTCGATCAGAGTGCTGTGGGAGCTACGCTTGCAACACATTCTGTGGTGTGTTTGGAAACGGATTCTGGCATGCCAATATCACCAGCACAGCGCATGACAACTACACAACGCCACCCGTATTCCCCATGTGCGCCATGCCCCACTTGCGGAAAATCATCTTGACCGGTCGCCTCGTCGATGCTGCTGGTCGAGATATGTACATGAAGTTCCCAGAGAGGTTGTCGTTCCCTACAACCTACATCAATGGGGAGAAGGAGATTCTGGTGACCATGAACACGGGAAGAAAAGCGCTCGAGTTCATGAACAGACATCATCCTCAGTTCGTTCACGTGCACCAAACCATTCCGGATTATGGACATTCGGATCTGACGATCGGCGAGTTCTCCAGCAGGGACGTCTTTCCATACATTCTCGACCATCTTCGTCGAGTACGTGAAGGACGGCATTACTCCCAACGAAACCTGAGCGGAAGTGGGCAAGTGCACGAGTGGGAGATGGAGCGACCAAACGAGAGCTCTTTTAACCTTTATCTTATGTTGGGATTTCTCCTGGTCGTCCTAAATGCTCTTCTCATCAGATTCTACATTTTACATTAGGATCCAGAGGACAATTTTCATGGGGCTTGAACTCCATTTCAGCTATCTCAGCCCAAAAGCTAAAAGGCCTTCTGGGTCTTCTTCTCAATCCCAAACATCTTGGGGTCTATCGATGCAATCATCTGAGAGCCCAGATCGGACTCCTATGTCTCTGTGCAATTGAAGCATAGGAGAAGAAGGGTTTAGTTTTACCAGAACAGGTTCACAATTAGAGTCTATTCATACGTGAGATGCAACAATAGACTTTCGATGTTCCTCTGCCATAGCTTAAGGACTGCAAACCTGAGCTCCACCTACCAGTCTTGATTTAAAGCGTAGGACTGTTATAAATGTAATTATTGTCGATAATTAGGCTGCCCGCTTTACTCATCTGTATCAGAGAGAAGTATCAAAGTCAATTGAATAAATCAATTGAAACAGAGCAGTAGTTCAATATCAGTCATTGTCACTGTAGTAATATCTGATCATCCAATGAAACCAACAGATCCTCGTGGTGAATAATGCAGTGTATGTCGATCATAGTCACTCATTAGTTCTTAACCGCAGTCACGTGTGCTACACTTGGAGTTATTATATTTAGTATCATCTGAAAATTCCAGATAGTGCATTTGCTTTGGTACGTGAGAGTTGACGTACATGATGGTAATTTTAAACTGAAAGCCTACAAAACATTGTCTGGTGTGTTTCGCATTGACCTGCATTAGATTTAGTCTGTTGGCGATTAAGAAATTGATAAATTTTGAAGAATAAATGTCCACTTCAAGCTGTTGCCCACTCCTGATCCAAAGAATTGTCGTGGACCGCTTACGACACCAGAATCTCATTCCTTCTCTTCCTCGGGACCTGTTCACCATGAACTTGGCTAATTACTTTCGGTCGAATGATGCAGTCATATATTTTGGCTTTCCAGCGACCGCAAGCGTGTTTGATGCGATGCGGCACGTCGTTCAAAACTTAGAGTCTAGATCCTGTAATGTAACATCGGATCCGATTCGTTTGACGAAGATCAGACCCGATCAAACCTACAAGAATTTCACTATGGATTAACGTAAGATAGTTATTAAAATAGGTACGTATTGCTAGAAAAACCAAAGGTTCAACAGTTCAAGTATTGCTACAATTGTTAGAAATGCGGTTAGATAGTATTATTTTTCGGTTGGGTATGGGTCCAACAATTCCAGTAGCACGAGAAATAATTAATCATCGGCATATTTTAATAAATAATAATACAGTTGATATACCAAGTTATGATTGTAAACCTGAAGATGTTATTACCATAAAAGATCGATTTTGATCTATCTTTGGTTTAAAATATTTTGTTGTTGGTTTAAATAGAAACAATTGCAGCGGCCTCCGTAGGAAAAGCAAAAAATACGAAATGTGTTTCACGATCAGTCGTGTCCTAGGTGCCTTTCACCTGTGGACCTCTGTCCACAGGTGTCGACCTTGTCAGAGGAGTCCAATCATCATTAGCCTCCTCCAAAGCAAGTATTTTGCAAAAGTGGAGGGATTATTTTCTTGTTTCTTAGTTGGCGATGATGTAGCTGCGGGTTGCCACTTTTCAACGATCTTTTGACATTCTACGTAGTACGTGAGGTGTTTACAGATTTTAGTATCAATATGATACCAGAGGAAATTATTATTCGTAAAAAAGAACCAAACTGTCAATAGTATAAGTATGATATGATTTGTATTTCAAAATATAAAATTGACTAAACATTTTGAGATTTTAGTTAATTCAGGTAAATAACTTGTCGACTGTGATTTAGTCTTTTAGTATACATACTATATGAATGTAATAGTTTAAATGACAAGTTTGGTCAATATCTAATAAACTAAATATTAGATAATACTCACAAAATATTAAAGAAATTCTTAATAACACTAAATCATATGAAAAAAACCTAATTGGTTATTTCAACGGTACATTCCTCACAAATTATATCATTTCATCTCCAAGGACATTTGAAACAATTCTGCACTGAAAAGTGCCTGAGATGAGATTAAGGTACACGAAGGCTCTCATAAGTTCAGCCCGAGCTGAACTAGGCACCAATGGCACTTTGCCATGGCGAGCAGCCGCAGGCGTGTCCCTGGGATTCTTGGCTGTGAACGGCACGTCGGCACCAGGCTGAGTGCTATGAGTCAAATGTTTGTTATGATGAAACATTCGCAGAACCGTTCTGAGCTCAAAACACGGACCTCGATTGCAGTCTGTTGCCTAGCTCAATGGCAAAGTGAGGCGCTAGAGCTTGCGCTTCTCACCATCCCGAGACCACGTCGTGAATCATGATTTGCAAACATGATGACGAGGAAGGGAAGTGAAGGGAACGAAGCAGGGACTGCAAATTCAGTAACAGCGTCGGCTGCACAAAATTCCGAGTGTCCATAAACAAAATCTCGTTCTTGACCTCTGACATTGTGATTCTTGGTGATGAGTTCTCTTCTCATAGATCCTTCCTCGCTTCCCACATGCCAGTCTGCTGTCGTCAGGTGGGACTTTACCTGCTGCCCGACTGGAAACTCTCCCCCGATAATCGGCATCGTGAACCTAGCCAGAGTTCTTTGCTCGAGAGGTCTACTCGATTCAGATCAACGAACGCATGGTCCTGTGGGACCAGAATTTCAATCAATCTTCCTCTCTTGCAGTGAACCAGCTCACTTCACGACCTTCTGGACCTGTCCCTCGTTGTACACTGAGCAGCCAGCCAGGCTTCGCCGCATCAGCGCTCCAGTTAGCCGGACAGCTTGCTCCATAGTCAGGGGCAAGAGTCCGAGGACCCAGGTCACGTGGGAACCTTCTCTCCCTCAATGACACAGAGCAAGGCCTGAGCCGTGAAGCCAGGGAACTGGAATGGCTTCGATTTGTTCACTCACTCTTCTTCGCGAGGCAAACCAGCCCCTGAATTTATTACGTCTCGACAAGGATCGGCTATTAGCTTATAAGCTACGAATCGGTCATGGCGCAGCTGGAGCCATCGGCGTGGATCACTGTGACAGGCAATCAGTGATCAGCAGGCCTCTGTAGATTAGGCATATGACTATTTGTGCCTAATCTAAACATATTAGGCACATATCCGCAATAAAATTAGGTACGATTATGCATCATTTTGAAAAACGACCCAAGATTGACATTTTATCGATATTAATTCAAGTTTACAAAGTGATGATTCAATTTCAACAAGATCTTATAGGAAAAGAATTCTAAACGAAATTTATTCTATCAAATTCAACCAAAATTTCTCACAAAAATAAGACATAAAAAATTTCAGATCGAAATAAATTTCTCTCAATACCTTGTTCCTTATAGCTTCAGGAGAGTGTATCTATTTTTTTCCTATTTGCCCAAATCCCAAGTTCGGGGTCTCAGCTGTATCCGCTACAGGAACTCTTCTGATATGTATCTTGCCCATGTACAATCACCATTATCTAAATGACTCTTACTTTCTCGGTCTCTATGACCTAACGTAACAGAGAGCATATGAGGTTACGTGCAATCACGAGAATGAGTATTGCATGTATCTTAAGCAAGAATTCTCTCAGAAAACATAATCTACCTGTTTTATTGGTTCAAGGTGAGTAACATATCATGCTGTTTACATTGGAGAAATATTTATAGAGAAAAATCAATCAATGACATGTTAAAAATGTTCTTTTTAAATTTCAACATTGAGAGGTTACTCTCGACAAACGTTGTATCTGGAAACAATGAACCCAATCTACCCGTAAGTTTGATCTTTTTGCTGTTCAGCCATCTGGAAAATATTTTTTCTGGATTTTTTTTTTAAATTACTTGAGAAATAATTTGGAGATTAGACACTCAATAGATTTGAAATTAGGGATATTAGGCATCTATTTTTAGAATGCCTAATGTACAGAGGCCTGATTATAACCCAATGCAAATTGTTTTAGAGTATCAATTGAAAACTAACTTTAACATACCATGGGAAATTTTTGCATTGAGAATAATACTATTTAGTCTATGTAATGCTCTAGCCACTTTACAAAAAATATCATAGATGATTTTTGTGTGTACATAAGAAAGTAGTATCATTTTGATTACAATACTCCAACGTTATAAGAAAGCCAAAGCTTCAATCAATCCAAAAAATTGAATGCCGTAAACCTTTCATTCTTTATAGAAATGCATCAAATATTACTGTAGTATACACCTTGAGTCAATTTGATGATGGAAAACAAGACCATCCAATTGCCTACACTAGTAGATAGATGATAAAAAAAAAAACTATTCAATGTCAAAAAAGAACTCTAGTAGTAATTCTTTTCACTTAAAAATTTTTGACATTATTTGTTAGATGAAGAATTCACTATAGTGACGGATCCTAATGCTTTGAAATATATTTTTAACAAGCCTAATACTGAGAGTAGTATAGCTAGATGGAAGTTACTACTAGCAAAGTTGGTAATACAAGGAGATTTGGGAGTTCATAATTAGAGTAAATTTTTTTCAAGATATACATTCAAGATGAATGCATTGACAAAGAAACCTCAACCTTCCATGATTAGAAGAGAAGTTATTGTTTCATCAAGGTGCTTACGGATTTCTACAAAGTGCAGTTGGAAAAGTAGAAGCATTATAATTCATAAATTAGTTTCATGAAGACTTAGTTTATGGAGGACATTTTGCGGGAAAAATAACTGTCTTTTAAGATTCTTGATGTTGATTATAATTGAAAGAATAAATTTTAATATTGTGTGAAATTTTGCAAGAATTGTCATGTGTATAAAACTTTTACTAAAAAGTCTATGAAATACCATACTTTGATTTTAGTTCCAATTTTAGTTCATTTTGAAAAATGTAATATAGATTTTGTAGATGTTTTGAAACTTACTCCTTGGGAAAATTAGTTCATTGTGATAACTACTGACCATCTTATCAAGTGAGTAGAGGCTAACCATTCAAATCTATCACTCAAAAGGAGGTGAGTAAATTTTTGTATGAAATTATCATAAGTAGGTTTGGTTGTACTTTTGAGTTAGTATCCGATAGAGGAGAGTTTGTGGGAAATGCTATTCAATTCATGTTAGATTATTTTTTCAATCAAAACTTGAGTAATCATTTCCTACAATCCCAATGCTAATTGGTTAGTGGAGATGAGAAACTGCACACTTTGGATGATGTTGACAAAGGATGCAGACTTGAATGAAAGCAAACAAAATTGGAACAAAAAACTACATGTCACTTGTGGAAGTATGCAACGACATGGAAGACATTTATTAGATATTCACCTTCTTGAATGATGAATGGAGTTGAGTCAAAACTTTCCATACAGATTGACTTGACAACATTCATGACAATTCAACAAAAATTGAAGAAGGCGAATGAAGTGGAAGTTACCAAGTCTTGCGAGCAACAATTGATGGAGTTGGAAAATGTTCAAGCTATGACCATAGTACGAGTGGAGCAAACTCAACAATTGTACAAGAAGTATCATGACAAGCGAATTAGAACTCATAACTTGAAGCCATTCAAGGAAGGTGATTGAATGATGTTCTTTGATGCAATTAGAGGGCAAGATGAATAATTTATTTAGTTCATCCTGCTGTAAGAAAGAAGAAATTGTGGTTCTTGAAGAAAACTGATGCTTTTCATTATAAAGCTGTTGTCAACCATCTGCGCAACAGATTTTTTTTCTGTTCTTTTTGAATTTCCATCAGAGTCTTTACTCTTATGCAAGGTGTTGAGAGGTGATGTTTACTTGTAGACAATAGTTTTGATCGCTTGCTTTTGTGTGCAATTCACGTCTATTTGATAATCTCTCTCTATTTCATTCCTTTTTGTACTCTTAGATTTTTATTACGTCAATGCCAATGAACCCTTGTAAGGCTTTGTACTATCTGCTCTCTCTATTAACGACAGATGAAATGACCCCTTGGCTAATTTGCGCTGATGATATTTGCCCCCATTAGCCGACATAAAGTTTGAGGGAGGTTTAGATGTATTTTATAACCTCACCGGTTGGCTCATTGTTGCTTGAACATGTATGATGGACTAGTTTCTAAGTATGAGATTGAGTTCCATCAGGTTTAGGAAGAAAGGTCTTAGTCAAATGGGGGAAGGAGAATCTTCGTGATCTGTTAGAGAACTAAGACGTCTAGAGGATGAAAGAGTTGAATCCAATCCCACCATGCTGAAAACACTAGTTGCAAATAAAAACTAAGTGATTACAATCTTGTATCATTGCGGTTTCAAAAGGTGCCGGTTTATGTCCAATATATGCATGCTGCTTCTTTGCTTTCTATTTTGGATTGTGATTGATGTATTTAGGATTGAATGAAAGAAAGATACTGAACTTTGTAATTAGATGTCTA